CCCCCCCCCCCACCTGCACTACAGAAAAGAGACCTTCAGGTGAGGACCAACGTTCTACCCCTTCACCTTGGTCGAGTTGGGAGATATTTTTTGCAGCGTCTGAGTTGCAGATTACAGGACTTTTTTTTTTTTTGCTGAAACCAAATTTCCTATTAGAGAGTAGGCTGTTTCTCTCTAAGTGGAGGGTGATGGATTGATTTATGATGGGATTCCTTTAATATACGCCAGGAGATTAGAAAGAGTTAATGTTATGACTTTAAATGTGGGCCTAAGAAAATACAAATGTTGGTACCTGGGGAAATTCTAGAAAAGATTGAACACTAGATTTGCAAGTGCTTAGAAAGGAATAAAATGATTGTTAGAAACCAGCGTAGGATTGTTAAAGCAGGTTAAAGCACCAAATAGACCTAATTGCTTGTTTAACAAAGTAGACACACTAGTAGTCCAAGGAAATGCTTTGGTTTGAGGGGATGGCGGTGTTTAAATAAAGCCCTATAAATTCTTTGTCTGTGTGCATGTGGTCTGGAATAGTGCTCTTGAACTTGGTAAGGCATTTGATAAAGTTGACCATAGATTTCCTTTTGATAAAATGGAAGGATGTGGGTTGGATGATCCCATTACTATTCTCAGCAAATTGAAAAACCTGGTTCTTAATTATTTCATATCAATATGAATGGATGCATCCAATTCAGTATCAAAAGTCTCTGTTCTCTGCCCAATGCTATTTATCATTTTGATACAGCATTTATATGAGTTCTGGAAGACAAATAATATTCCCCTACATACACAAGGCTGAAGTCCATCTCAAGCTGAGTCGGCAAAATGAAGCTGCCTAGTAACTCTGGAAGAGAACAAGATAGGTAACAAAATCCAGGTTCTTGTCTTTTTCCTTGTTGTGAAGGAAATGAAAATATGGGTGCAATGAAAGACACTATTTATGTTGGAAGTTTCTAGTACCAATAAAAAAGTGGGACTGGAGTTGTTGTTTTTTTTAAACAAAAAGAGTAAAAAGGTAGAGATGGTGTACTATACTAAAGTTCTCCCATGTTTTTTCAGATTCTATATTCTTCTAGTGAAAGCTGTGCCATGATTTATATTACTTCTGAAGTCCTATATATCATTTGCAGAGATTGTATAACCTGTAATCTTAGGATCATGGGGCTGTTCTGCAAGTTCCTTTAATGAAGGGCCCAATAACCACTGTAATTGTACACGCCAATAAAAGATACTGTGTTGCATCTAACTCCAATCACTTCCATTCCTTTTTTATTTTTCCCATAACAGAACAGATAGAATAAATGCTCATCAAATTTGCACAAAGCTGGGATGGAGGGAGAATTGCTAATACTTCAGGCTGAAAGTTCAAAGGATCTTGGTAGACTTGAATATTGGGCTCAATCAAACAAACACAAACACAAAAACCAGCGGTAGTGAAAAATCTAGGATTCTACTGATTTTATAATAGGATAAAAAACAGGATCACAGATATGTAGCTGAGCAGTATTATTTGTGAAAAATATATGAGTGTGAGTTGCAAAGCATATATGTATGAGCCAGCAATATTTGCAGCTGTCCCACCCCCCCCACCCCCCCAAAAAAATCCTAATGAAAATTGGTGCTGATAAGATATCTGCAGGCTCCTCAAATTCTGGATATAAACTCTTTCAACTCCTACAGGACACCGCAGGCCAAAACAACTGGACACAGAGACAGTTCCCCGCCCCTCATGCCATCACTCTGCTGAACACCTAATTCTCACGGTACTTTCTAATATCTGTGTGTATTTTTCCACATAGTGTGGGTGTAGCATTATTATTTACCCTGATTATTATTTTTCTTACTCCACACTCT